TTCTAAAGAAGATCCTTCTTTAATTGAGGCCATAAACACTTGGAAAACTCAAATCAATGTTGATTCTCTACCCCCCCCCCACAACCCATAAACAGAAGTACTAGGATGCTGCAGTAGTTGCTCGCTGCGTTGAAACTCTCATACCGCACCCTACTCTCTTTTCTGATCAATGGTACTGAGCATGAGTTTCACGAGGCCATTCACTCTGTCAATCTTCAACTTCAACTTTCGAACAACGAACTTACCCACGCCATCGGTATTCGTCTAAATGCTCAATCACCTACCCTCACATCTGTTCAGGCTGTAACTCGCCTGTTGACACGAATGGAAGACATAGTTTACATTGTCACTCCTGCAATGGTCGATTCATCAGACACAGGCAAAGTAATTCAATCATCCAACATGCCTTGAAATCAGCACAAATCCCATCCATACTTGAACCCCAGGGTCTTTTCAGATCTGATGGAAAACGACCAGACGGCATCACTCAAATTCCGTGGAGGAGGGGCCAATTATTGTTATGGGACATTTCTTGTATTGACCCCCCTTGCCCCATCTAACCAGGCACTCAACATCATTGGCCAGAAGGAACAGCTTAAAACATCGAAATACACAGAAATTACTAATGAACATTGTTTCATTCCAATTATTTCAACCACACTTGCCACCTTCGACAAACTTGCCTTAGCCTTTTTCAAAAATTTAGTATCTCAAATCATCAAACACTCTGAAGAACTTCGAGAGGGGTTTTTTTTCGACAAAGGCTCGCCATAGTAATCCTTAAAGCCAATTACATCCGCTTCAATGGTAGTCTACTAGCCAAAGAGTTATCCTAAATCCTTTTTTTTCCTCGCATTATACATCCTCGTTCTTCATTGGTATTTTTATAATTTTTTATTCATTTCATATTCCTTTTGTCGCATTTTAATATAAACCTTATTTATACATTCATATATTCATTATTTGTTATTATATTTTATTATATACATTTGATTTATAATTTAAATTTATGTGATTTGATTTTGAAAATTCATATATATTTTTTAATCGTTTTTTTACAATATGTATTAAAGTTATAAATTGAAGGAATAAAATAATTGAAAATTAAAAAAAAGCAATATCTTAGAAAATCGCAAAATTAAAGATCTTTTATTTTTTAAATATTTTGAGCAACGATCTCTGAACATCATAGAATTATATTTCAAAAAAAATCTTGAGCACAGATCTTTTAAGGTCTATATCTTTACGTGAAATTTGAAGATTTTTTATTTTTTTAGATCATGATCTTTGAACATCTTATAATTTCATTAAAAAAAAATTTGAATAACCATCTTTTAAGATGGATATCTGAAAAAAGTAAAATTTGAAGATTTTTAATTTAAAAAAATATTTTGAGCAACGATCTTCAAAGATTTCAAAATTATATAATAATTCATCAAATAAATAATTAATTATGATATTATATTTAAATTTTCATGTTATTTATAATTACAATTATGTTTTTTGAACAAAATAAGTAGCGGGCTAAAAAAAATAAATGATTGGAAAAAAAACTAGCACGCTATTTTAGCTATAGTTATCGAAAAAAGATAGCGCGCTATTCTGGCAATCGCACCTGCTAAAAGAAGGGCGTTACTAAAAGGTTAGAAACTCGAGCAAGCTTGCAAGTAAACTGCAAGAAATATTATTAGAGATATAAACATTTGTGAGCAATGATAAATATCTAAGTATGAAAAATCATCTTGAAAACAGGTTTTGACAGCAAATTAAATTTCTGAATGCTTATTATTTAATCTCTAAGAGGAAAATAGATTGAAAGTTAAAATTTCAAATTCTTTGGGTGATTTAATATTGTTAAATATTTTTATTCTAAATCATTAAAGATTAATTTTTTATTCTATAACTTTATTTTCAACAAAAAAAAATATATAAATTGGATCATAGAAATAAAAAAATGATTGACTAAAATATTTACGTTTCCAACCTAAATATCAATTCTACTTTATCAATTTTTTTCATACTTTCGAGGTTCTATGTTATGCCATTTTACACTAAATTATTTTTCACACTGAACTTTAATGATAATAAATTTCTTTATTTTTAATTCTTTGTTTTCTTTTCAATTAAATTTATACTATTTACCCTATTGTCATCCTTCCACTTTTCATCTACGATATCTCAAAATTGTACCTGTTATTTTTGTTGACTAAATTTTGTTATATCTGATTCAATATACGAAGGTGAGATCTTATATCAACTTTAATTTTCAAGTAAAATTTCTTTCTCTATAGGCTCATAAAATAACTTCGTATGCTATACCTCGGAATATCATGGCATTTCGCTGGAGCAGTCCCATATTTTTATTTCTCTTAATTTTAGTGGCCGACCCAAAATTTTACTTCTATTTTTAAATATTTTTAGGTTAAGTTTTATTTATTTCTACGATGAAAATTAGATATTTTTTAAGATTTTAAACTGCAAGTGATCTCGCAGCGTCTACCTACTTTATTTTTTAACCGTTCAGCTACTCTGACGTTTTCCTATATTTAGCGGTGGTACGAATTCGTGCCTTTTAGTTTTTTTGGTTTAAAGATTTAGTGCGATTCAAAATATAATAAAGGTTAATCCATTCAGTTCATTCCATTCATTGCCATCCAAAATATATCTCATGTAAGTAGAGTAAAAAAATCTTTTCATAGAATATCAATTTTACAAGAAAGGAAAGAATATAAAAGACTAATTTATTCTACATAAAATATATTCTGAATAATTTCAAATATTATACTCTCCCTGCCTTCCCCCTTGCTTAAATGAAGAAAATGTACAAGAATAATATCGTGAATAAGTTATATTATTTTATTACAATTTTATATTTATTATTACAATTTTATTTTAAATAAAAGTTAGATAAAGGGAATAAAATTAAAGTTATATTATTATCATGGCATTTGATTTATTCGCGGTTTGTTTTTGAGGGCTCGTTTTATCTATCAAAAATATTTAAATAAAATATATTTATCATTAGTTCACATTCTTTTACAATTTTATTTTTAATAAAAAATAAAATAAAATGAAAATTATATTCTTATCAAGGGCGATGTTTGCCGCTTGCTTTTGAGGGGTAGTATGATCCTTGCTTTACATAGCTGATTTTGAATAACGAAAATGATTTCTGTCATAAATAATATATATTAAGCATTAGTTCACATTTTTTTCCAGATTTCTTGTTAATAATAAAAACCATTAAAAGGAATAAAATGAAAATTATATTCTTATCAAGGGCGATGTTTGCCGCTTGCTTTTGAGGGGTAGTATGATCCTTACTTTACATAGCTGATTTTGAATAACGAAAATGATTTCTGTCATAAATAAAATATATTAAGCATTAGTTCACATTTCTTTCCAGATTTCTTTTTAATAATAAAAACCATTAAAAGGAATAAAATGAAAATTATATTCTTATCAAGGGCGATGTTTGCCGCTTGCTTTTGAGGGGTAGTATGATACTTGCTTTACATAGCTGATTTTGAATAACGAAAATGATTTCTGTCATAAATAAAATATAATAAGCATTAGTTCACATTTCTTTCCAGATTTCTTTTTAATAATAAAAACCATTAAAAGGAATAAAATGAAAATTATATTCTTATCAAGGGCGATGTTTGCCGCTTGCTTTTGAGGGGTAGTATGATCCTTGTTTTACATAGCTGATTTTGAATAACGAAAATGATTTCTGTCATAAATAAAATATAATAAGCATTAGTTCACATTTTTTTCCAGATTTCTTGTTAATATTAAAAACCATTAAAAGGAATAAAATGAAAATTATATTCTTATCAAGGGCGATGTTTGCCGCTTGCTTTTGAGGGGTAGTATGATCCTTACTTTACATAGCTGATTTTGAATAACGAAAATGATTTCTGTCATAAATAAAATATATTAAGCATTAGTTCACATTTCTTTCCAGATTTCTTTTTAATAATAAAAACCATTAAAAGGAATAAAATGAAAATTATATTCTTATCAAGGGCGATGTTTGCCGCTTGCTTTTGAGGAGTAGTATGATCCTTGCTTTACATAGCTGATTTTGAATAACGAAAATGATTTCTGTCATAAATAAAATATAATAAGCATTAGTTCACATTTCTTTCCAGATTTCTTTTTAATAATAAAAACCATTAAAAGGAATAAAATGAAAATTATATTCTTATCAAGGGCGATGTTTGCCGCTTGCTTTTGAGGGGTAGTATGATACTTGCTTTACATAGCTGATTTTGAATAACGAAAATGATTTCTGTCATAAATAAAATATAATAAGCATTAGTTCACATTTCTTTCCAGATTTCTTTTTAATAATAAAAACCATTAAAAGGAATAAAATGAAAATTATATTCTTATCAAGGGCGATGTTTGCCGCTTGCTTTTGAGGGGTAGTATGATCCTTGCTTTACATAGCTGATTTTGAATAACGAAAATGATTTCTGTCATAAATAAAATATAATAAGCATTAGTTCACATTTCTTTCCAGATTTCTTTTTAATAATAAAAACCATTAAAAGGAATAAAATGAAAATTATATTCTTATCAAGGGCGATGTTTGCCGCTTGCTTTTGAGGGGTAGTATGATACTTGCTTTACATAGCTGATTTTGAATAACGAAAATGATTTCTGTCATAAATAAAATATAATAAGCATTAGTTCACATTTCTTTCCAGATTTCTTTTTAATAATAAAAACCATTAAAAGGAATAAAATGAAAATTATATTCTTATCAAGGGCGATGTTTGCCGCTTGCTTTTGAGGGGTAGTATGATCCTTGCTTTACATAGCTGATTTTGAATAACGAAAATGATTTCTGTCATAAATAAAATATATTAAGCATTAGTTCACATTTTTTTCCAGATTTCTTGTTAATAATAAAAACCATTAAAAGTAATAAAATGAAAATTATATTCTTATCAATAGCGATATGTTTGCCGCTTGCTTTTGAGGGCTGGCTTTATCCATGTTTTATCTATAGGTTAATAATTTTTAAATAAAATATATTAGCGTTAGTTCACATATTTTTACAATTTTAATTTTAATAATAAAAGATATTTAAAGAGAATAAAATGAAAATTATATTCTTATTAAGGGGTTTGATTTATTTGCCGCTTGTTTTTGAGGGCTCGCGTGATCCACGTTTTACCTATCAATGATTTTGAAAAACAAAAATAAATTCATGCAGTATTAAAAATAATAATATTTAGCCGTAGTTTATTGTAAATTAATTATAAGAAAAACAAATAATTCTTATGAATCGCTAATATTTTATAAACTCAAATTTAAAATATTCAATAATTCTTAAATTTTTATAAAGTTTTACAACTATTTTCTGGTTTATGAGAATTGGATTGTTTAATAGAGTTCGGATCGATTTGTTATAAATGGGAACTTCAATAATGTATTTTTTTTAAAATTATCCTTAGAAATGTTATAAGTCAATTACGATTAGAGCTATTCTTTTAAAATTATTGCAAGCTTTTAAAAATATAAGACCAGCGTTTGCTTTGCTTGATCTTTCACTCCATTTCATATCACTTGTTGGCACAGATTGAATAAATTGTAAAGTATATCCTTTCGCATTTAGACAAAATTATTTCCTTTTTTACAGACCCCCCCCCCCTCTTTTCTGCATTTCAGAAATTATTATCAACCCAACAGAAAGTATATATCACAAAATCATATACTATATTTATATTTCTCAGCGCAAGATTATTATATTTAACACAAAAATAAATAGTGTAAAATATTTAGGATGTATTAATAATTTTTAAATAGACAACCAATTTTTTACCATACCCCGGATTTATAAACAAACTACCTGTAAAAATATAAAATATTCGTTTGGACGATTGTTTTTTAAAAGATGGCCCTATTATGATGAAAATAGTCACCAATTCGGCATAGCTAGTTTCATATATTTACTTCATCTATATCCAAAATCTAGAGGCTTACGTAAATATTATATGAGTATTGTTCCCACAACACTAATCTGAATTACTGTTCACTCAGTAAAACGAGTCGTATTCTCTGAGAAGCAGAGTGAAAGATCGAGTGAAGCAAAGCAAACGGTGATTTAATATTAAAACTACCAAATTTTAAAAGTAGCCGTCGTAAAAATTTGAATTAAAAACATTTCTAAGGATATTTAGAAAATATTGGAGTTTCCATTTATAACAAATTGATTCGCCCCACTCTATTTATTAAACCATTAATTCTTCTGATCTTTTGGAATCTTGAATTTTTAAAACACTTTCGAGAAATTATTTTCTAAATTAACTTATGTAAAACTTCGCTTTATGAATATGCCGATTACATATAAATTATTTAATAAATAAAATACCTCTAGAATATATAGTAGTTAGAAGATATTCCCTTTCATCCACTTCTGGTATGGTATCCAAGATATGTAATTGCCTTTTTGACCTTTCGAAACGCATTAAATGATCGATGGGTTTAATCAATTTGCCAATCCTCAATATCTTAACTTCGTCTTCTAAGCCAGTAAACGAGTGGTCTTTGAAACAGCTTTGAAAACTTGCGTATTCGAAAGCTTTGATCTTAGCTTCCACTTTATTTTGTTTAGAAATAAATTATTATTAAATTTTGAAAGCTATATAACTATAAATCATTTTAAAATTATTTAATTTTTTTAAGGTTTCAAGGTAATTTCAATATTTGAAAAGAACTAAATCCAGCCTAGTAGTTTTAATTCTGACCTTTATTGGGTATCTTTTTGAGAGCCTTAGATAATCTTATTAATCCTAATGAATTATTCTTTAATTATATGATTCAGGTCTAACTCATATTTAAATTTGATCTGAATACATTTTTAATGGGGACTCATCTTTCGTTAGAGAGACAAAAAATTAAATAACTTTTTATTAACTTAATTACACTCTTAATTTAGCTTTTTAAAATTAAAAAATTTTTACATCTAAATTCATAAATGAGATTAATATTCTAATTACTAATAGCCATTTTCCTTTCTCTCGCATTAGAAAAAGCTAGGATGGGCTTCGACATCTTTGGGTTCTTATTTGGATTCCTATATAACCTAACCACCCTGTTCCATATCCGTCCGATTTGATTCCTGTCGGGTAGCTTCACTTGGCGAAATGACCATCTTCTTGCTACTTTCTTTGCGGGGTGTGATTTCTTCTCATCTGTTTAACAAATATAAGAATTATTTATCAAAATTTAAATTCTTAAATAAATCTTGAATGAAAAATTTAACGATAATTGGCAAAAATTTTTCTAACATTTTTGAAATTGTAATAACTGTGTTCAATATTTTTATGTTCGAGTGAATAAATAACGTTTTAAAAATTTATTAATAAATTTGTTTGAAAAGGGATCTGTCTGTTGTCATAGTCCTCTCTAATTTTAAAAAAATACAGAAAACCAGTTCCATACTACCAGCGTTATTATTCATTTATTTTGTTTGATAATGTTTCAAGTTTACAAAAATTTTTATCTTAGAGAAATTATTTCATTATTTGAATAATAGCTGTGTCAAAAGGTATTGACGTATTATTATTGAAAAATATAAGAATAGAATTTAAGAAAAAGGATAAGGGATTTTAAAAGAGGACGTGCAAAAAGAAAATTAGTGAATAGAAACTAGGAAAGAGAAGGAAAGAAAGATTACAAGGAGACATGGAAGATTATTCAATAGGAGAGATAAAACTTTGAAGAGTAATGTTATTTTTCTTTCATTGTTTAAATCGTCTAATTTTTATTTGAGACATTTATATAAAATAAAAGAATTTGAAATTATTTATGAAATACTAAGTGTAGAGAGTTTGCTTATTATTTCTTTACCAGTTTTTTTAGTGGATATATGGATCACGAAGAAGAATGTATGAAGATATTTATTTTATATAAAACCACTAATTATTAACAAAATATTATAAAATTAATAAATTGAATTTAACTTTCGTCATCAAGTGGTATATCAAACCATTCGCATTGATTCTGGGTCGTTATTTCTATATGATTTAATTTATAATAGAGATATGATAAAAAAAAATATATAGGAATAAAAAATTTAAAAATCTTTTATTACATTTCTAAATACATGATGTTTGCTTATTGTATGAAGCAAATACAGGGTGATAAACCATTATATTTATCAGTCCGTTCATGTATTAAAAAAAGTGGGAAAAAAAGATAAATAAAGATAAATAAAGGTATAAATTTTATAAAATCCACTATTTATTAAGAAAAAATGAGAAAATAAATTGTATTTTACTTGCATCCTCATATGGGGTATTCGATGTAGTTGGTTCGTCCTTACTTTGATAAACATATAATTCATCGCTAAAGGGTCTTTTCAGACTTGTGGTTGGTTCACTAGAAAGGTTAGTCTCTTTAATTTGTTGTTTTTTTCAATATTTGTAACAACGTGTAATAATTTGAGAAGCGATAAAAATAAACATTTTAATAAATACAGAATTTTAAAATAGTTTTAGCAATTTGAAGTTAATATGTTCACTTAATGTTTAGGGTAGGCCGAGAATGCTAAACTATTACTTTTACCACTATTTTGGGCAATGGTGGTGGCAAAATGATTAATAAATATAAACATTGTTTAAATAGCCGATAATTATTAACTAACAATAACAGAATTAATAAATTGGATTTTACTTCTATCTTTCGGTATATCCCTTTCAAATTTAGGTAGATCAATTACTTTTTGATTTGATTTGGAAGTTATAAAACGCTTTGTACTTTGGGAAATTCGCAATACCCTCTGTAATAGGCTTATCCTACTATCTTTTATCATCACTTTATCGATTTAGATACGTTAAAAAATATATAATAAAAATTTGTTAATACTAAGTTTACAATGTGCTCATGATTTAAGGCATATTTAAGGTGCTTAACATTACATATAAGCGTGCTTAGTAGATGTAAGGGGTATTGGTAAATAAAAATTGATTATATTTTACTTTCATCCTTTCTTGAGTTTTCAATCATTGTATTTGGAGTTGTCGAATTAGTTGCAATTAAATAATCCTTAAGGGATCGTTTTACCCTATTGCTAATTTCGTCAGAAGGGTCAGTGAGTTCTTTAAGTTGTTTTTTTATGATGTTTGTAACAACTTTAATAATTTGAGTGCGATAAAAAAAATACAGAATTTTAAAATATGTTATGTAATTTTAAGTTAATATGCTCGCTTATTGTTTAGGGCAGTGGCAGAGTGTTAATCTATTATTTTTACCTATTTTGGGGAGTGGAGGGGGAATAGTTAAAATTCATAGATCAAGATATGCATTGTTAAAAAACCCATAATATTAATCAACAAATTACAAAATTAATAAATTGTATTTTACTTCTATCCTCCGGTATAGGTTGGTTAATTATATTTGGATTGGATTTGGAATGCTTTTTCCTCTTGGCAATCCCTAAAGCTCTTTGTAATAGGCTCATTTTACTAGCTTTCATGGCTTTTGTATTTGACACAAGTTAAAATATATTTAATAAAATACTTAATTTAAAAATTAATAATTAATACTAAGTTTATAATGTTTGCCCATGATTTATGGTATATTTAAGGTGCCTAACACTAAATTTAAGAGTGCTTGGTAGATGTAAATGGTATTGGAAAAGGTATTATAAATATCTACATTAATATACGTAACTTATAAATATAAAATTACAAAATTAATTGTATTTTACTTTCATCCACTATCGGAATTTCAATTAATACATTAGAATTGGTTGATATATCGCTTATGCTTTCATCAAGAATCAAATCATCCTTATAGGATCTTTTTACCCTTGTGCCAGTTTCGTCAGAAGGGTTAGTGAGTTCTTCAATTTGTTTTTTTTGTGATGTTTATAATAAAATGTTATAATTTAAAACTCGATAAAAAAAATTTTAAGATTGTTTTTGTAATTTTAAGTTAATATGTTCGCTTATTGTTTAGGGCGGTCAGAGTGCTAATCTATTACTTTTACCACTATTTTTTGGGAATGGACATAGGGGAAATGCATAAATGAAGATATAGGTTGTTAAAAAACCTATAATTATTAATAAACAAATTACAAAATTAATAAATTGTATTTTACTTCCATCTTCCGGTATATTCCTTTCAAAATTAGCTTGATTAGTCACGGTTGGAGTGGATTTGGAGGTTGTAAAACGCTTTTTCCTCCGGGGAAGCCCCAAAATCCTTTGGAGAAGACTTACTTTACTTTCATTCATTTCATCGATCGCTTTTCCTATTATTATGGCTTCTGATTTTTATTTGAGACGTTAAAAAAATATTTATTTAATTAATACAAGTTTATAATGTTTGCCAATAATTTATGGCATATTTACGGTGCCTAGAATTACATTTAAGATGGAGGGGTATGGGAATAAGTATTGCAAATATCAACATTAATATACAATACTTATTAATTAAAAATTACAAAATTAATTGTATTTTACTCTCAGCCACTTTCGGAATCTCAATTATTATATTTGGAGTTATATTCGAATTGGTTGCTATATCGCTTATCCTTTCGTCATTAAGAGTCAAATCATCCTTAGAGGATCTTTCTACCCTTTTGCCAGGTTCGTCAGAAAGGTCAGTGAGATCTTTAATATATTTTTTTGTGATGTTTGTAACAACTTGTAATAATTTGAGACTCGATATATTATAAAACATTTTAATAAATGCAGAATTATTATTTTTGCAATTTTAAGTTAATATGTTCGCTTGTTGTTTAGGGTAGAACTAGTGTGCTAAACTATTACTTTTTACAATTATTTTGGTGAGTTGGGGATAATATATATAATAATGAAAAGCTAATATTTGCAAAATTAATAAATTATAATTTACTCACAACTTCTCCTGGTTCTCAACCTCTATTAAATCTGCTTTTACTATAGATTTGACCGTTATGTTCAATGCAATTTTTAATTTTTATAAAAATAACCTTTACAATATATTAGCCTATATTATTACAATGTCGATGCATTTATTTTAGAGGTTCAGTTACATTCGGGTTATAGGTTAAAAATTATAATAGTTTTATTCCTTACCACTTTATAAATCGGTAGCAAGAAATATTTAAAGATTATTTAAGCACGTTTTAAGGTCTTCAGAAGAAAATGAATATAACCGTCAAATCTAATCTAAATTCTGATAGTATCGATAAACCAGAGAATAAAACCATCAATAATTAGTGTTTTACTAGAAGAAGTGTGAGGATTAACAATTCTTGAGTAATGTTTTCTCGCTGATATAGAAAATTTCTCAAAATTAAAATTAGACATCGTAATATTTAATAATATTTTTTTTACAACTTAAATTTTTTAATGATGATATTTAGAATTACTACAACTATAGGATGATTGTTGCGTATTTCATAATAACTATATTTTTTTTGATATATGATAGAGCAATTTCTAAAAAAGAAATTTTTTATAATAATAATCTGAAAGAGAAACCTTACTAATTAAATAAATATTACTTAGAACTTGATTAGGCTTTTAGGAGGACCACATATTTTATTTATTTTAGTAGCTTTTATTTAAACATATTACAATCTTTTTATCAGTGAGTTAAATTTTTAAAGAAATTCCTAATGAGGATTTGTAGGTTTCCCAAGAAATATATAGGAAGAGTAGGCATCTACAGCCCACTAGTTATAAATATTTTATAGCTTTAAGTTTTTCACATCAATCATAATTTAATCTAAAGTGAAACATTATATTAACTAGTGAAAGCATAAAAATGCAAGGATGGCTGGGAAGAGTTTCTTCAAGGCATAAATGAATCTAGGTCTAAGAAATTCAATATGAGAGATAAAAAGAATCTTAATCTATAAATTTCAAGTTGTAATATTACAAAATAATATAAGGTTTCTAGCCTAAAAATATATCAACGATAATATTGTTTTTATTTTCAAAATGATGCATTTATTTGTAAAATAAAGTTTGCAATAGATTAGTCTATTGTTTTTAAACGTCTATTCATTAATTTTAGAAAATAAAGTTTAAAATATATAAGCCTTTTGTTCTAAAACGTCTAGGTATTAATTTTATATGTTCAGTTACTTTTGGGTTATAGGTTTAAAATTTTATAATAGTTTTATTCCTTAGCTCTTATTTTTGAACTGTATAGGTATCATAGTATATCGGTACTAGAAAAGATTTAAATAAGATATTTAGGCAAGTTTTGAGGATTTTTTTATCTCCAGAGGAAAAAGAACATAATGGTCAAATTAGATCTAAACTCAGATACAATAAAGGTTATCAGTAGATGAAGTTAAAATATAATTAAATTATGTTACTTTAAGTTAATAGCTAGTGGTGTAGATTTTAAACTGAAATAAGGTGTGCTAACAAAAATATTACCTAGGTAATACAATAAAAGTTTATTTTTAACTATTTTAATCCCACAAACTGATTTTATACAGATTTATAAAATAATTATATAGCCCCCATTATTAAATATTATGGTGTTTACTAGAAGAAGTGTGAGGATTAATAATTCTTGAGTAATGTTTTCGCATTGATGTAGAAAATTCCTTAAAATTATAATTAGACATAATTATATTTCGTAATATATTTTTTTCAGCTAAAATAATTTAATGATGATATTTAGAATTACTATAACTATAGTGTGATTGTTGCGTATTTTATAATAACTATATTTTTTTGATATTTATACGATTGAGCGATTTCTAAAATAGAAATTCTTTATAAAATGATCTGATATTTAAGTAATTAGTAATCAGAACTTGCTTAACCTCTCAGGAGGGCCATAATAAATACTTTATTTTTATTGGCTTTTATTTTAATATAATCACGATCTTTTTAAATAATCAGCGAGTTAATTAAAGAAAATTATAATGAGGATTTGGGGAATTCCCAAGAAATTTATAGGAAGAGTAAGCATCTATATATAATATAGCCCATGAGTTTATTTTATTCTGTAGTAAGTTTTTCATATCAATCCAATTTAATCTAAGGAGAATCAGATTAATTAGTGGATATGTGAAAAGCAAGGATGACGACAAAGAGTTTCTTTATGGCTAGATAAATCGAGGTCTTAGAAATTCAAATGGAGAAAAAACTTAATTAAATTTTCGTTGTAATATTTACATTCGGGCTGTTTAAATTTTATAATAGTTTTATTCCATAACGCCTATTTTTGAATTTTATATCTGTAAAAAGATTTAAATAGATCATTTAGGGCAAATTTTGAGGATCTTTCAGAGGAAAAGGATCATAAATCCAATCTAATCTCAGATACAATAATAGATGATAAATCAGTAGATTGAGTTAAAATATAATTTATTAATTTATGTTATTTTAAGTTAGTTAATAGTTAGTGGTTTGTTAAAGGCTAGTTTTGATCCGCTTTTGAAAAACAGCTTCTATATTTGGGCCAGAAAAAAATTGCTTAATTCTCCAGATTTCGCTAATAGCTGTCTAGACCATCTATGAGCTAAATCTTCAGGCTTGAGTAATATTTTTCTAGATAAAATACTGAGTTAACTGTTTAAAAATCGATTCAAAATGTAACAATACCAGTTAGTGGATATATTAAAATGTATATTTTAACTTGAAATAAAAAAAAATGAATTATGCGCTAAACAACATTCTTACCTCTATAATAATAGTAAAAGTTAATTTTTAACTAGTTTAATCCTACAAAATGCTTTTATACATATTTTTAAAATAATTATTTAGACCCCATCAATAAATATTATAGCGTTTACTAGCAGAAGTGTGTAGATTAACAATTCTTGAGTAATGTTTTCTCATTGATATAGAAAATTTCTCAAAATTACAATTAGACATAATTATATTTCGTAATATTTTTTTCAAAAAAATTTAATGATGATATTTAGAAATACTATAACTTAAGTATGATCGTTGCGTAGTATTTTATAATAACTATATTTTTTTGATATTTATACGATTGAGCAATTTCTAAAATAAAAATCTAAAATGATCTGAAATTAAGTAATTAGTAATCAGAACTTACCCTTTTAGGAGGGCCACAAAAAATACTTTTTGTATTTTATCGGCTTTAATTTAATAATCACTATCCTTTTATAATAATCAGTGAATTACATTTTTAGAGAAAATTCTAATGAGGTTTTGGAAAATTCCCAAGGAGGAGTAGGCACCGATAGCCCATGAGTTTATTTTATAAATATTCTGTAGCTTTAAGTTTTTCAAATCAATCCAATTTAATCTAAAGAGAATCAGATTAACTAGTGGATGTGTGGAAAGCAAGATGACGACAAGGGAGAGTTTTTGGCTAGATAAATCTAGGTCTTGAAATTCAAATGGAGAAAAAACTTAATTTATAAATTTCCGTTTTAATATTACAAAATAATATAATGTTTCTAGCCTAAAAATATATTAACGATATTTGGTTTTTATTTTCAAAATGATACATTTATTTGTAAAATAAAGTTTCAGCCTATTGCTTTTAAACGTCTCGTTTCATTAATTTTAGAAAATAAAGTTAACAATATTAGTCTATTATTTTAAAACGTTTAGGCATTAATTTTATAGATTCAGTTACATTCGGGTTATATTTTAAAAGTTTTATTCCATAACGCTTATTTTTGAACAATTTTATATCTGTAACAGAAAAGATTTAATAGGTAAATTTTGAGGATCTTTCAGAGGAAAAAGATCATAAATCCAATCTAATCTCAGTTACAATAATAGTTGATAAATCAGTAAATGAAATTAAAATATAATTTATTAATTATGTAATTTTAAGTTAATAGTTAGTGGGTTTGTTAAACGGCTAGTTTTGAGCCGCTTTTGAAAAACAGCTTCTATATTTTGGCCAGAAAAAAATTGCTTAATTCTCCAGATTTCGCTAATAGCTGTCTAGACTTTTGTACCATCTATGTGCGAAATCTTCAGGTCTGCGTAATATTTTTCTAGATAAAATAATGAGTTAACCATTTTTAAAAATCGACTCAAAATGTAACAATACTAGGAAATTTCATATCTACTTGGTAAATTTTGACTTTCGTGCCTTCGATTTTAATGGAAGGGGGATTTGAAGAATATAAAAGTTATTTATCAAAAGTTGTAAAAACAAATAATTAGTACTAAATGACCCCCCCCCCCTATCTCCCAAAACCTTTATTATATAGTGATCTGCATCGGGCCTAATTAAGCCTGGCCCGACCCGAATTTATTTAAATATAGAAATTAATTTTTATAATTACTAAAATAAACGATATATGTTATATATGGGGGTCTACTTTTCTATAAATAAAATAAAATATTTTTTATTTTACATAAAAATAATTTCAACATAAAATTGATAAATTTAAGATATATTTTAAAAAAATTTTCTAAGGCCCGACCCAACCCGGCCCGAATTTTCTTAAAAAATATTAGGCCCGACCCGGCCCGGCTCGGTGGAAATCGTGATAAATTTAAGAAGGCGAAATACACCTTAGTAAGAAGTAATTTGTAAGGGATATTAATTTTTATGAATTGGCAGTTTATCCTTTTGTGATTTTCAAATCTCATTTCTAAATTTGTGTTCGTGTCATTTTAATTAAATTTATATTATCCATTATCGACGTATGATTTGACAAATTCTATTTCCATGTTTTTGAATATTGAAGGAATTAATAATGAATGCATAATTATTTCGAAACCCCGCGGTGCGGCCCACGACCCAGGGTAAATAATGTACTTCTATCATCTTTCTTTACTCTGTTTTAATTAACGCCAAATTTGAGCCACTTTGATTCTCTGGGTTATAAAGCGCTACCGTTAATAAACGCGGGTGGTGATGGCGGCGTGATAAAGATAAATAATAAATACTATATCTGTTGGCATTATATATATTATCAATTCATAAAGGAACTAAACTAAGGCCTCGTTTATAGCCGCTATGACGGCTCTAAGGCGAGGCGATGTCTATGGCTAAACGATAACATAGTTGTATAATTTAACATTACGTATTTTGTAACTTAAGCTGCGTGCCGTGGCGCGCGTTATTTACGATGGTTACTATAAGTGAGACCTAACGGACACTGTAAGAATTCAAATAACCGCGTTTATAGCGGGGGGGGGAATGATGGGAGAAAGGGAAAGAAAAAAATACCGACCAGTCAGCTCTACAAATTCGAAGCAAAAAAAAAATTCGTATTAATCCGTCAGCTGATGACACGGGGAAATGTATGTTTATTCTTGGCACGTAAAAAGGAACAGGGTCACTCCGGGCTTAAAGACAGTTATTATTAAAAACAAGAAATCTTTTTCAGTATTCCTTGAAGTTACTTTTGAATATCAATTATAGTTACTGGTTTATCCTTAAAAAATAACTAGTTAAAGTTACTAGTTACATTCTTAATTAGAAATCTGTCGATATAACTTCCGGAGCATACACTCCCCTATCTTGGATGCACCTATACCCTTTTTCAAATGACTAATTATATACCCATAAATTTCTAAAATATATAAAAAATATATATATGTCGGATTGGGTTATGGATTTACGGAAATCCAGAGTCTGACAATTTAAAATCCTTTATTGAAATGTAATTTTAAAATAATTTCATTTTACCAGGAATGTATTCCAGTAGTACAGAGTACCGGTACTGTGAATTTCGGATAGGTTAGTTTACCATAAAAACTACACTTTTATATTTATTTACATATTTCATAGTATCGTTACAATCCAAAAAATGTAACCCCAGAGGCGTATTACCTCTATTTAAAGATACTACTTGCAGGTTTAGCAATATAAAAATTTGCGATCTAATCTTTTGGATAGTTTAATTTTTCAAAAGGGGGCTATATAAATATTAGATTTTTTTTTTGGTACCCCCCCCCCCATCCCTTTGTTTCCAGAATTTTTTTTCCTCTTAAAAAGATTAAATAAATTATTTTTATATTATCGTACTCAAAGAAAAAAACGTTAATCGATTTTATTGCATAAGCTTTGATTGACAACTTTAAACTTATCAAAAAAAATACGATTATTTATCAGAATTGCGTGAAAAGAGTTCAAACCATTATTACACACAAATAGTAATAACTATTAAAGGGGGTGAAAATTAAGTCGCGGGCGACAGATATGGACGCTTCCGTTCTAGAATTAGAAAAACGCTTAGCACGTCATTTCCTAGAAAGTAAATTACGCCAATCAAAATATTAATTGATTTATTAAATATCGTAAATCGTTTTATATAAAAAAAAATAATTAATAATGAACTCGAGGTATTACGTTAAAAATTGAACTCCGGGGAGTTAAAAAAATTTTTTTTATTTTATATTTTTTTAGAAGAAAAAAAAATCGATTTGCTTAATAGAAAATGAACTAAGATTATGACGACGTGGCATTAAGATTTATCGGTTAAAATTGAATTGTAGAAATATCACTTCTCTAGGTGTGCAGGAAAAAAAATTATTGGGTCGATAGGGGGGAGGGGGTTAAGAAAAAACTGGTTTATATTTTAGTTGTAACCCTCTTATTGGTTAACGGTACAGGTATGCACCAGGCTAGATTTTCTATTTAGGATTATTATTTTTTTTAGAATATCATATTTGAGCATAAATCAATATGATTTGAAAAAAATTGAGCATTTTTATCCACTAGAAAAATCTTGACCATTCGTTTGTTAATAGTTAAAAAGACCGTACCCGAAATAAGGCGTCTCTTCTTTAAAAACGATTTTCAAACAAAGTGTGATAATAATTTATCTATGCAAATTTCCACGCAAAATGTAAATTAACCAATTAACCGCTAGGGGGGGCAATATTTTTTTTGAAATAAAACAAGCAGTCAGGCACTAGTATAGATCATTAACTATTCTTATTGAAAATTTGTAAATTCGATATACCAAATAATTACCATGAAGGTAAACTTGGTGTTTTTTTCTTAAGCCATAAGGGTGTGTCCCACTGAACAGCTGGCTTTATGGATTCTCGACTAAACAATTTTTTAAGTGGAGAGAGAGAGAAAAAAATTACAAAAAATAACAATCCCGCAAAAAACATTTAAAACAAAACCGCCATAATAAGATACCCTAGTTCAACAGCTGTTTATTCTAGGGCCAATTAGAAATGGGTATAAAAAATAGGTCGAATCAGGGCACACGACCTTAGACCTTGAATTCGTTTATCTTTTATCGATTCTCTGGTATGCACGATAACTTGCTATTTCAGAAGAAACTGCTGTTGACACCACACCAACGACAATAGCTGCTGAATAAGCATTTATACATTTTTTTAAAATTACAATATGATATTTTTGTGCTTCTGCTTGCTACTTCAGTCGCTTAATAATCCCTTCGCCACTTGCATTTCATGGTGCAATGTTTTTATATTAAGGTTTAGATAAGAGATAAAAGAACACTACCTATGACGGTCCCAAGTCCGTGTGCAAAAAGTGGAGGGTTGGCGTCAGGTCGGAAACCGGCTGTAAAAACCCACTCCAAAATGATGATAGTTTTAAATAAAACTCTATAACAGAAAGCTATGGCGTCCTCCACAAACGACGCGCAATGCATCTCCCGCCTGTACAATGCGAATAATACGCTAGGGTTATCGCCTGACTCACAACGAAAGCGATTAAGGAATTTAGTTGTGGATAGAATGCAAATAACATGCTGAAATGTGGGTACGTTAAAGGGAAAGAGAATGGAACTAAAGCTCGGGAGTTGGGAGAGGGATACAAGTTATTCTACAAGGTCACTAAATCGTAGAAACGGGGTAGGTATCGTTCTAAGCAAATCGTTCAAGGACAAGGTGGTGGAAGTCAAACGATGTTCAGACAGGTTAATGTGGATGAAGATTGCAGATCAAGGAGGCCTCCTAACCGTTATGTGCGCGTATGCTCCTCAAATTGGGTGTATGGAATCAGAGAAAGATATATTCTTCGATTCATTGGAAAAAGAGATACAAGGAATACGACAGGAATAAAAGCTAATTATTGAGGCGGACTTCAATGCCCATATAGGAAAAGATCGTCTAGAGTATTAACGAAATCATGGAGGCTATGGGCATGGTCTGAAGAACAAGGAAGGGGAAAAACTTCTCCGAGTATCCCAAGCCTATGACATGGCGATCGTTAACACTTATTTTCAAAAGCGTGAAGATCATATTGTGACTTATAGAAGTGGAAAGCATTTTAGTCAAACTGACTATCTGCTTATACGGCGAAAGGATTTATGGAGGATCAAAGATTGCAAAGTAATATCGGGAGAAGAAATAGCCAAAAACATCGTCCACTTGTCATGGATCTTGAAAGAAAAGGGTTTCCGGAAAGGAGAAAGGTTTATGAACCTCGAATTAGGTATGAAATGCTAAAGGACATGCCGATGAACGATAAATACTATTAGAAAGCCTCCACACTCTTAGGTGCCTGGAAATTAGAAAGAAACGTAGACGAAAATTGGGAGACGCTAACTGCAGACATAAAGGAAACAGCGATTCATATTCTAGGACAGACCAAAGGAGGCAAAGCTTTGAATAGGGAACTATTTGGTGGGATTAATCGGTTAGGGATTTCATCGAAAGAAAGAAAGAAAATTCTATATAGACGGTGGCATAAATCTAAAAAGTCGGAGGATTATCAAGAATATAGGGAGGCAAAGAGAGCCGCGAAGAAAGCCGTTGTAATAGCGAAGAATGCTGCGTACACCGAGATGGCAAACAAACTGGATCAAAAAGGGGGCGACAGGCTTATGTACAAATTAACCAAGATAAGGGAGAAGAAATGTCGCGATGTCGGAGTCCTTAAAATAGTCAAAAATGAGGAGGGTCAAACCTTATTCAAGCCGTAGGAGGTGATGGAAAGGTGGAAAGGATATTTCAAGGAACTTATGAATATTGCTAACGACTAAGATTTCCTTTCCGATATTGAGCCAATAAGTATGGTCGAACTCTTTCAGGAGGATGAAGTTAGGACACAAATGAAGAAGATGCAAAAAGGAAAAGCTAATGGCCCAGATAGAATTCCTATGGAAGCATGGGTCGGATGCCGAGAAGAAGGAGTCACGACCATGACGAACCTCATTAACAAGATATTGGGAGAAGAAAGAATTCCTAATCGATGGAGAACAAGCACGATTATACCCTTATTCAAAGGCAAAGGAGACCCTCAGGAGTGTGGTAATTACATAGGTATCAAGTTACTTCCCACTCCTTGAAACTTATGGAAAGGATCTTAATAACACTGAAGAATGAGGTGGAAATATCGGCTAACCAATTCGGATTTGTGGCCAGCAAATCCACAATCTATCCGATCTTCGCACTAAGACAAATGGATAAATATGGAGAAAAGAAAAGAAACCTACATATGGTCTTTATAGACTTGGAGAAAGCTTATGACACGGTCCCTCGCGATTTAATATGGTAGTGCTTGAGAAGACAAAATATTACGTCTTATGAAAAATATCTATGAAGCCTCAACTTCTTGCGTTAGAACGACCGTTGGAGACTCTAAACCTTTTCGGGTTGAAATTGGATTACATCAAGGATCTGCTCTAAGTCCTTTTTTATCAATATAATTATGGACATGATAACGAGAGACATCCAAAAGCCATCTCCTTGGTGTATGCTATATGCCGATGATATAGTACTATGCGAAGAGACAAAGGAGAAAGTATTCGAATAAGCCGAAAAGTGGTCAAAACGCTTAGCTGGATATGATTTAAAGGTCAACAATCGAAAAACGGTATACATGGAGATGAACGTTACAGGCACCCCATCGCTGGTAGACAGGTTTACATACCTAGGCTCGATGCTACATCAAGAGGGAGGTTGCGCAAAAGAAGTTAATTCACGGATCCAAAAAGGATGATTTAAATGGCGAGGTATATCCGCTGTAATGTGCGACAAGAAGATGTCAATATGGTTGAAAAGTAAAGCTTACATATCCATCGTAAGACCCGTGTTAATCTATAGAAGTGAAACATGGAAATTAAACTCTACGGAAGAAAAGTTATTACAAGCCACGGAGATGAGAATGATACTGTGAAGCTTGGGGTATACTAAACTTGACCATATGACGAATGACTGTCTCAGAGCAAAAATGGGTATTCAACCTATGGCGGACTGAATAAACGAAAATCGGTTAAGGTGGTATGGTTATATACTAAGATGGGAGACGAATGATGTAAATCGAAAAGTATTGGATATGGAGGGGCCGGGGAAGAGAGAAAGAGAACGACCACGTGTTACGTGGAAAGGTCAAGTAGACAAAGTTATGATGACTAAGAAGATAAATCCGGACATGGCCCTTACTCGATCAAGATAGAAGAAACTTATCAAAACAAACCCCACGACTATGGGACCATATGCATGATAAAGAAGAAGAAGAAGATGGAATGGAAAATTCCTAATTTAAAGGTGCCAGATAGCATAAAAAAAATATAGCAAGTCAAAAAAAGAAGAATATCAAGCCCGCAAGTCTAATTGATCTATATTTATTCTTGAGATGAAAATTAACGAAGTACATTTTGTCAAAAATGTACCATTTTTCACTCTGACCCCCATATCTTAGCGTTTAAGTGATTTAAGAAATAAAATTTCATTTTTTTCTTAGTTATATTATATACTACCAAAAATATGAGGGAGTCCGGTTGAAAATCGACTTTTTTGGTTAATTAGATATATGGAATTTACCAAATATAAATTTTATTCGAAATTACCCTTAAATTTGCAGTTTAATGATATATATAAATCGATATATAACATTTAATTTAAAAAAATATCTTTGATTAAGTAAGAACTTTTGTAAAATATTTAAGAAAATATAGAAATTTTTATAGAATCTCTATAAAATTTGCAATTCAATTAAAATTTAAATAAATTTATTTTATTTTCTTTAATATTTTACAATAATGTTTTTATAAGTTTGAAGGGAGATAATTTAACACTAAATTAAAACATATAACTTAGTTATGAATAATAAAATATAATTATTTATATTGACTTAACAAATACGAGATGTAAATACACTGAATTAAGTAACCTAACTGATTGAAATCATGGTTTTAACATTATTTGAAACAAATTATTTGGATTGATAAGAATGATATATAATAACAAAAAGAGAAGGTTCAAATTAATAGATTATTGTTTTAAACAGTAAAGGGCACACTTTCAGGCATTAAAGGACGTATATAAACACATTCAATATTTTTAAGGTAAGCTTGTTAATATGATTGTATTTGAAGTTTAGAGCATCTATTTGAGACACGATAAACAAAAACTTTTAAAAAATATATAAAATTTGTTTTTGCAATACTAAGCTTATAATGTTTGCCTTTTGTTTAGGGCAGGCGTAGGGGATATCAACCCATTACACCAGTGTTTAAGGTGGATGGAGTATGCGGAAAAAGTATGAATGAAGATAAATACTTAACGAAATTCGCTAATTGTTATTTTACTTTCATCCTCTTTTGATTTTCCAACTCCTCTAAAGCGGTATTTACTGTGATATCTTTTTTTCATGAATTTGGATTCCATTTTTTCGTTATATTATTTTTCTTTTGGAGGCCAAAAATCCTCAAAGCATTATTAAATGGACATATTTTAACCTCATTTGTATTCGAAGAGCAAATCCGGGCTCGTTTTTTTTGATTTGTTTCGATGTTTATAACATCCGTTTCTTTTTGAGAAAAATATTTATATACAAAATTTAAAAAAAAAATTTTGTTTATGATATTAAGTTTACAATATTTGCTTATTGTTTAGGACAGGGCCCAGGGTTCCAAATCTTATTAAATATTTTTCATCATTGTATTATAAATTGGATACTATAAAATTTGAAATAAATTAAGCTAACGAAGCCCACTGCTTGCTATTCGAATGAAACAAAAAGGAATAAAATAACCCTAATCAAGGAAGATTTAAAATTGTTAATTCGCAAAATATAAAGGATATGACGGCAAAATATAAGAGTCCAAATTCAATTGTAAAAGATATAACGATCTTTGATGAAATTGAAATACCAAGAGTAAATAAAAGTAAAGCATAATGTATTCGATTTGTATTTTTTAGTTAATAATTAGTCGATTCTATAGAATGTTGATTAATTCCCTATTTTTCTCCCCTTAATACCTTATGATTAAAATACGCGTCATCAGAAATTAAGCATTCTCTATCAGAGAAGCTTAATTTAAATAATATTAATATAGAATCGTATTATAAGATGATTTAGAAAAATTTAAAAAAATAGGAACATAATAAAATTACATTTTTTTTATACATGATTAAAATACGCGCTCCTAAGCTCTCTCGGTAAATATCCACTATTTATAAAAAATGAACCCAGAATAATGTATAGCTCATTAAAAGGATTCAGATAATGTTAATATTTAATTTTAAAATATTTTATAACTTAGTGGAATTTAGAAAAAAAACTTCTATTTTTTTACTAAACTGTGCGCCCTCGGTAAATATATGCTTTTTTAAAAAAATGAACACATAATCATATTTGGCTCATTAAAAAAATTTAGAAAATGTTAATATTAAGTTTATAAATTTTTTATAACTTAGTAGGCTTTTGAAAAAACACTTTTTTTTGACTAAACTAGCTCTCGGTAAATGTATCCTCTTTTTAGAATAATAAATGCAGAATCATGTTTTATCTTTTGAAAGAGTTTCAGAAAATGGTAATAATAATTTTTTTTTTTTAAATTTTTAATTAACCAAATAAGAAAATATTTTGATTAAAATACGCGCTCCTACGCAGGTACACAGAGTTAACAATGAATTATCAGAGAAAATAAAGGGGAATAAATTCTTGTTCATTTGCCTCAAAAATTGAGAGAAATAAAGGAAACTTTAGCTATCTTTTAGACTCAATGACCGTAGCTTTACTTTTTAGCTTAATAGTTGGCTAAAAAAATGTTTACAGTTATGGAAAAAAAAATGTAAAGAATGGACCTTTATCAAGTAGTCAAATATTGTTTTTTGGCGACGGATCTAAGTTTGTAATTGGATCTTGGGAGTATTCATAATAATGTGGCATGCAAGGCAAATAAGGTATTCAATCCTGAGATGAGAATTTATATTTTAAAATGATAAATTATTTATAATAATATATTATATATTCATAAATAATGTACTATAAAACAATTGACGCCAACTTGCGAATTGAATATTATTGAATTTTATATTTTTGGCCTAATTTTTCAAACCCCACCAGGCCCGAAATATTAAAAGAAAAAATGCCCGCTATCGAAAGAAATTTATTTTATTTATCCCTATATGCCCGACCCGAAAAAGAAAATATTTGTCTGCCCAACCCAGCCCTAAATTATTTAAATAGAGTTGGATATCAGCGAAAAACATCCTATTTTTGATTATTATACGATTAATTTAATTTATCAAAAATGTTATAATATGATATTAATAATATCATTCCAACTTATATTTAATTTTTTTTACCGAAATAAATTTATTCATATCCTTTAAGAATCAGTGCCTAACCTCGCTTAATATTTTATTAGATTTAGTGTTTGCAACGGTCCGGTCCGGTCCGGTCTTTTTTTTCTAAAATGGGACCGGACCGATGGACCGTTAAGTCAAATGAGACCGGACCGTGAGACCGTCGGTCCGGTCCGGTCCAGGTGGTCCGGTCCCACCTAAAAAAATTTTTTTTATAAAGCTACAAAAGTTTTATTCTGCATTTAAATTTATTAAAAATGAATAGTTAAATTACCCTATTAATATTTCAATTATATCATCAATTCATTTTTATTATATTATACACAAATGCCTAATCAAAGAAGAATATAAAAAGTAAACTGTGAATATTGAATTTAATGAAACG